CGACAATGTCAAAATCCCGACAAGTTAGCCCGCATTAGGTTAGGGTTAGTGTTAGTTCCGGTCAATTTTTGTCGGGAAAATGATAGAGACCTTTCAGGAAGTTATTTTTGGAGTTGCTACTTTGATATTTGAAGTTGAGATGAATCTTCATGCATGAGTATCTAAAATAACAATTACAGATAGTTAACCACTTTAGATACAACAAAATGCATACTGTTTTTACTATTTTGAACTTTTTTTTATTACTCAAAAAAAAAAAAAAATGTAGAATGAATAGAATATTATATTTTTCATTCAACATTTGCATTGTTTAAATAGTATTTGCTATAAATATGTAAAAGAATATGCAAATATATATATTTTTAAACAATGTTATAAAATCCAATTTAACAATTTTTCAATCAATTTGAATCTTTTAATCTATTTGAATTCCATTCAGGTCTGCGCCTAAATTATTCTAATAGTATATCCTGTCTAATTAATTTTATCATATATTATAAAAACAAAATTTAGTTCAACCTAAATTACAAAGAAATTTACATAATAAACGATAAACGATAAAAATATTATTAAAAATTCAATGTTATATACTGTATTTTCTATTCATTTGTATTAAATTCGATTAAATCTAAGCGTAAACAAAATCATAAGTATATTAATTAAAAGGTTTTCATGTGTTTTCATATTCAACAAAAAATCTCAACATACCACGCTCATTATTTGACATAATACTACCATTAATCGATTTTGCATCTAAGAAAATAAAAAAAATTTTAAAATGATTAGACAATATTATAAGCAAAAACAATCACGCTATATAAAGATTTGTTCAGGTTACCGCTTTCATCTTGAAATTCATCCAAAAGTCTCTCCGTCTCTTGTATAGAAAAACGGTCATCTTCGTCTTCAGTTGAAAGAAAAGACCCAGGTGATAAACTTCTATGTACACCACTTGTGGATCTTGCAGACTCAACTGATATGAAAGAATCCGGCGACGAACTTCTAGTAACCACGACCATTCCTGAATTTTCATGAGAATTTGATCTTCTTCTAGACCATAGATCACTATTTCGTCTTGAATAACTTGTTTGTCTAACGTCCAAAGACGATCCCTTTGGACTTGAAGATTGGTAAACATTTGATTTACGACGATCACTCTGCCGTTTACCAAAAAGACTCGCAAATTTCATTCCATCAGACATTAGTGAATTAAATATTTCACGCCCTAGTCCTTTTTGTCGTTCTTCAACAGGCTCAACTAATTGGAATGTTGCTGCGAAACCAGTATCAAAAAAATCTACTAAATACTCGTCTGATAAAATTACTTCACGAAATAATGGAAGCGATAATATAGTATCATCATCGTCTTCAATTGATGGAGCTTCACTATTATTTGAATCAGAAGAAGAATAGATACTAGATTTAAATGCAATTTTCGTGAAATTTGAAACCGACCCAAGGCTTTCATCATCTTTTCGAAATCGGAATATGAATAAAAAGCTTTCAGACATTTGTAAAATTTCTTCTTTTGATAAGTATCCATCTTTATCACTATCATGTAAATTGAAAAATAATTCTATTCGTGATAATATATCTCCAAATTTAATTGCACCAAGTCCTAAAACAGCATCTTGAAGGGTAATTCCACCTGTAGATGATCTATCAAAATAATCAAATAGTTTATTGATAATTTTATAACCGACAAGTCTATGTCCTTGACTATCTCTGAGCACAGTATTATTATCATTAATTAATTCATTGTCCTCTAATTTTGCCCAATCGGCAATACTTCCTAAAAAACTATAAAATGTATTTACATTCATTCGTGAATCATTTCGCGAATCACTTTTTTGTTTTCCATAAAATTGT